AGATGATGACCATAGAACTACTGATCTAGATGATCATAGAACTACTGATAAAGATGATGATCATAGAACTACTGATCTAGATGATCATAGAACTACTGATCTAGATGATGACCATAGAACTACCGATAAAGATGATGACCATACAACTACTGATAAAGATGATGACCATACAACAACTGATAAAGATGATGACCATACAACTACTGATAAAGATGATGACCATAGAACTACTGATAAAGATGATGACCATACAACTACTGATAAAGATGATGACCATAGAACTACTGACAAAGATGATGACCATAGAACTACTGATCTAGATGATGACCATAGAATATTTTCTCACACAAGAAGAAACAGTAAGATGCTGACTGACAGACGAATTTCGCGAAGGGCTTCTTCATCTTCAGACCCATTTTGCTGTGTGGTGCTAAGATGTATATCATTGAGTAGATTGGAAACATAGCACCAAGCTTTCCGATCTCCAGTATCTGACCAATCGGGCCTTTCCTCCTAAATCCTGGCATCCCTTCATACCACACAGAGGCAAGCAGCTGTTGCACTTTGGAATGAGCAACAAACTAAAAGACAGGTAAGAGAATCCAGTAAGTTGCTCTGTTTTCAAGTTAACATTTCTTTAAAACCTAAATGAACTACTTCAAGTTTAGTGTTTAATATTGATGTTATAATTATGCCAAGTTTAGTGTTTAATGACGTTATAATTATGTAAAGTTTAGTGTTTAATGAACAAGTTGCTGATGTTACAATGCTGTCAAGTTTAGTTTGTAATGATGTTATTTTGATGTCAAGTGTTGTGTTTAATGATGATGGTATAATTATGTCAAGTTTAGTTTGTAATGATGTTATTTTGATGTCAAGTGTTGTGTTTAATGATGATGGTATAATTATGTCAAGTTTAGTTTGTAATGATGTTATTTTGATGTCAAGTGTTGTGTTTAATGATGATGGTATAATTATGTCAAGTTTAGTGTTTAATGAACAAGTTTCTGATGTTACAATGCTGTCAAGTTTAGTTTGTAATGATGTTATTTTGATGTCAAGTGTTGTGTTTAATGATGATGGTATAATTATGTCAAGTGTTGTGTTTAATGAACAAGTTGCTGATGTTACAATGCTGTCAAGTTTAGTTTGTAATGATGTTATTTTGATGTCAAGTGTTGTGTATAATGATGGTATAATTATAAGCCGTTTTTTTACTTTCAAGTTTGTAGTGTCTGAACAGGGTTCTTATGTTAAATTCACTCACTAATATTATCCATTTGATATTTTTACTTGAAAAATATTAATTACTGTTTACGTAGAGATTTTAACAGTTTTACTTACCGTTTTACGTAGATATTGTTGACAGTTTCACTTACTGCTTTACGTAGAGATTTTTAACAGTTTCACTTACTGTTTTACGTAGATATTTTTAACAGTTTCACTTACTGTTTTACGTAGAGATTTTTAACAGTTTTTACTTACCGTTTTCTGTTTGTAATTTACAGCGAGCTTGAGACGTTCTAATTTCATTCTTTCTCCTGTCTGATAAGCCGGACCAGACGGGTCATAATTTAATATGATTTCCAGTTCTGAAGAAGTTCTTGCGTGATCGAGAAGCGAAGTAGCGAACTCTTGGCATCTTTGACGTAGTTCCTGGAACAATTAGTGTACTTATTAATAAAATATATTTAAAACTTTTATAGTTTAACCTAATATACAACATTATTTATTTTCATGCTGCAGTTCCCACTCTGTATAGGTCAACATAATCTTCTTAATACACGAATTTTTGATAGACTGTGTTTTAATGTAGACGTTTGGTCATGTGGTGTAACGTCTGTAATTTGAACAGTATAAAACGCGAATCAGGCCAGAGTAGATGACTGATTATCGAATTTGTTAGCTAGTTAGTTAATTAGTTCAGTGTTGTCAATTTTCAGTAATATTTTGACTACGAAACGAGAAGTATAGTAGGTATGAGAAAATTAAAAAGTAAGTGACTGTTTAGTTATGAAGCTAGGCCTATCGTAACTTTTAGTGGAAAAAATAAAATGCTTTTGTAACAATTCAGGGGACTTTGAATTATTGTTTAGAATATAAACTATATAAAGTTACAACATAAACAATATAAACGTTACAACATAAACAATATAAAGTTACAACATAAACAACATAAACGTTACAACATAAACAATATAAAGTTACAACATAAACAATATAAAGTTACAACATAAACAACATAAAGTTACAACATAAACAACATAAACGTTACAACATAAACAATATAAAGTTACAACATAAACAACATAAAGTTACAACATAAACAATATAAAGTTACAACATAAACAATATAAAGTTACAACATAAACAATATAAAGTTACAACATAAACAACATAAAGTTACAACATAAACAATATAAAGTTACAACATAAACAACATAAAGTTACAACATAAATAAC